AACAGAGACAATGTAAGACTTGTAGAAGATATCATGGTGGGACATGTAGAGTTAAATTTGGAGCTTGTTTCTGATGTGGGGAAACATGACATTTCATGAGAGATTGATTATTAGGGACAGGAGAGTCTGTACAGTAAGAAACGATTTGTTTCGATGTCACAGAGAGGAAGAGGTGGAGGAAGAGGCAAAAATCAGACAGAATCTTCTACTCAAAAGGAAATACGCTCCACTGCTAGAGTATATAACCTCCAGACCAATGAGGACTGTGATGATCCAGAGACGATAACAGGTATGTTTCTATTTTATAGTAAATATGTTATGATATTGGTTGATTTGGGCTTGAATATTCATATACGAGTAGTAAATTGGTGAGAGAATTGAGAATTTAGTTAGAAGTTATTTTTAGTAATATTGTAGATACAAATCCATTAAGTCATAGTGCTCAAGTAAATTAGATATGTTGAGGGTGTTCCATTCGGATTCAGGGAATTGAATTCCCTGTTAATCTAATGGAGTTACTCTTCGAGGGATTTGATGTAATATTGAAAATGGACTAGTTATATAGCTAGTATGCAAATGTTGATTGTAGAGTGAAAAGGGTAAAGTTAATTAGTTCAGACGGATTGGAAATTATAGTGTTTAAGGATCTCTATCGTTCTTAAGTAATGGGGATATTGTTTTGAAAGAGTTTAAGGATATATACATCTGTGATCAGTTTATAAGACAAAGGTAAATGGAATGTTTTAATTTGAACGAAGGAAATTGTATTATGGATAAGTAAGAAGAAAGGTTTGATAAGTTAAGGAAATAAAGGATGAGTTATTTTGATTGGAAAGAATATATATATATGGATGATTTGACGAAGGTTTACGTTTTGCTTTAAAGAATTAGGTTGAATAACAAGTAATATGATAGTGAATGTATTAAAGCAAAAGGATTTGTATGTTTGACAGAAGTTAAAGATTAACATAAAAGTTTAAGATGATAAAGGGATAAGTATGTTGTGATTTGAATAAAGATTTCACAAAGAATAAGGTTGTACAAGTAGTGTTAACTATCAGAGTTATGGAAATACGATGATAAGTGTTGTTTAAGGATAAATATAAGTGATATGAAAGGATTATGGAAGCATAAGGAAAAAGATATGATATATGAGACAAGGAGAAATTGATTTATGAAAGACTAAATAGATAAGGAAATTAAATTAAAAAAAGAATTTAAAAGAACCAATTTGACAAGGATATATAGAAGGAAAGTGTTCAAGGTGTTGAGAAAAGATTGTATGATTCAGTAATGAATACGTTTAATCATATTTGATGAAGTTTAAGGTTGTGTTTCTCGGTTAATTGGACATTATTAGAGAAGTAAGAATTTAGTTATAAATATTAAGAAAATTTAAGATATAGTTGAACGATTATATTCTGTTGAGCAAGTGGTAAGAGAAAGTTTTGGTTTATGGGACAAAGCAATTAGAAAAGGATGAAAGAAATCAATTGAAACATAATCGTGAATGGTGAAGATTGGAATTATTGTATATATATATGATGAGTAACATTATACAGATCTATAAAAATGAATGTAAATGAAGAACTGAGTAAATGAAAAGGTAAGTCTAGTAACAGTGAACAGGAAAGAGATGGTAAGAAAAACAATAAGAGAATATTAAAAGATATGTGTAGGCAGTGTACTTATCGATTTGTGCAGTGAAAATTTGAGGACGAATTTTCTTAAAGGAGGGGAAATTTGTAACATCCTCAATACCGGGTTAGTGACTAAATTGTAAAATTCTAGAATTTAGGGATTAAAGTAGAACAATTGAATAGTTCAAGGACTTAAATGGGAAATGTTTTGGTAGGATTAAATTACAAAGGAGGAGGATTATAAGGACGAATTGGTCATTTAGTATAGGAAATAATTAATTTATGTTATGGTTATATATTAATCCATGTGGTAGGAGAGAGAGACCAAATGAGTTTCCAGAGTTATCTTCTTCTCCTCTCTTCTCCATACATGAAGGCTAGTGGACAAATGTGAGATTATTATTAGTTGATTATTAGTTAAAATTTAAGTTTGGTTTTGTTCTTTAGATTATACTTAAGCTTAAGGAAAGCTTAAGTTACCTTAAAATTCAAAGATAAGAGAGTTATGAGGGATTAAAGAAAAGAGGGGAATAAGTGAAATTTTGATAGGAATGTATTAATTAAGTTTCAAGACTAAATTTGACTTGTCATTAGTGGAATTAAGGAATATGAAGTGTTAGAATTGGATTTAAAACATGTTGAAAATTGAGTATGATTCTTGAATTCCATATAGAGAATAGGATTTTCAGGTTTAAGAAGTGATAAATGAGTATAAATGGTTGTAAGCATATGTATGTGAGTTAAGAACATAAAAGGGAAGGAAACGTGAAGTGTTGAAGATGAAAAGAGTGAATTTTCGTGCTTAAAATGTGATTTCTGGGCTAGGGGTATCGGTACCCATTCAACAGGTACCGATGCCTCAAGAGTAAAATTCAGGAAGATATTCAAAGGGTACCGATACCTTAAGGAGTGTATCGATACCCCTTGAAACGAAAAATTATCGAATCTAATTTGGGTATCGATACCTAGGGAATGTATCGATACACCAGTTAAGGTATGTACCGATACCATATTGAGTATATCGATACCTGCTTTAGATAGAAAATGAATTAACATTTCCTTCAGTTTAAGAAATGAGAAATCAGAGTATATTATTTGGAATACTGACATGTAAAAATGTATGATTATGTAGACATAGAACGTAAGCAAGTTTCGGATTGACTTCAGAGTTAGGATATAATCTAAAGAAAGGAAGTCATAGGAGTAATTGATAGCAAGTGAGGCCAAGGTGAGTGCGTACTATACTAGTTGTAAATGATGTGTATGGAATAAGACTCGCGGTAAGTCTAATTCCAATATTCGATTGCATAAATATATGAATGTTAGTATGTATTTGATTGGACTATTATGTATGCATAATTACATTAATAGATTCATAGAGGTTATATGTTATTTGGTGTAATAAGAATACATAACTAGTTATATGATAACAATGTATAAATTATATGAATTAAATCTAAGTGATTAAATGAAAAATGAGAATATAACATAAGTTAAGAGATATCGACATAAATTAGTATACAAATGTGTCAAACAAGTTATATAGAAAAGCTGATATGTTTAAGTAGAATATGACCTAAACTTGTTTGATTCCTATGTGATATGAGTTAGTATATAAAGGTTCATGAAATCTTATGAGAATATATGTCTACTCTATGAGACCTTACCAGAATATTTTATGGTATACTCGATAAGAAACTAGGAGTTTATCTGCTTCTGTGAAAAGAACTATATGAGTACATGTATATAGGAATGAGTGATATGACTATGTGAATTTATGTCTATGAGAAGACATAAGAACAAGATACCAGTCATGTGACATGTGAATATGAATCATATGGAAATGTTATATATGCTGATATGAATAGGTATACATGTGATAGAATAAATGATAAATTCCCATGTTGTGTGATATGAGAGCTATAGGTATAGTTGGCATGCCAAGAGTCGAGGGTTACCTATGTCTTTCGAGACATATGGATAGTTTACCTATGTTCTTCGGAACATATAGATAGGTCCTTCGGGACACAGATTTCATATGCCACTTAGTGGATTTTATATGAGCTATGGTGACAGCATATGTGTGCACAACCTCATAGTACTCGTATACCTTGAGTTCTCAATAATGTGCATGGGCTTATAAAAGATGTAAAGAGTATGTACATGTTTGCATGTTATTATTGTTTATACTGATTCCTATATGACATTATGGGTTTATAAGGTTACATGCATAATTGTTATTAGATAATTGATTACATGTTCATATTATAGAAATTATTTATTATATGTTTATGCCTCACTAAGTCTATGACTTAACGTGTAAGTGCTTTATACGTAGGTACTAAGAAGCACGAGGACCAGACTTGAGACCGAAAGAACAACATATCTTCATAAGAGATCAGATCATAAGTAAATCACATAGTAGTTTTTTTGTTGTATTAAAGGTGTTAGCATGTAAACAAATGTAGATTTACGTATGCTCTAATCAACTCTGTAATGTTTTGAACTCAATAATGTAAATATGACTTTTGTGTTAATAAAAGTTTAAAATTTTATATAATTTTTATGAATGTATATGTTTTGAAAAGTCAATCTGACACATCGAACTCATATCTGGGCCAAGTACGAGTTAAGGGTGTTACAGTTACCACACCATACCTCGTAAAACAAACATATATGCGTAACAAAAGAGTCTGATTGGGGAATGTTGTTGATGATGGCTGAAGATGGGGTGTGTTCTTCAAAAGCCTTAAAAAATGAATTAGTCTTGGGCCTGTTGGATTGAAAGTAATTTATGTACTACAATCCAAATGATTTTCAAATGATACACTAACTAGATTTTCAACAACAAAAAACAATCTCGCTACCAACTATCCATGAGTTACGAAAGGGATATGTATTGGTCCCACAGCTGAGGGGCGTTTCGTTTAAGAAAACTTTATGAGTGGGTTCGGTAAAATGACTTTCCAAACCACCTCACTACTACTTGGCAGTGCAGGATCAAATCTTCTTATTCACAAATGAGGTATTTTTCTATTACTTTTTTCTCTTCCTATTTCTTTTCAAGGTCACGGTTTTAACCCATTTTATCATAAATATTTATTTTAATATTAATTGAGAACACAGAGATAGAATAAAGCCGTTTCAAAACAAGACTTTTCAATAACATATCAAATAATAATTATATTTTTATATAGATAAACGATAAACATTATATATATTTTTTTAAAAGTTTTGAATTGGTCAAATTCATTCAATCAGTTGAAATATAAAGAACCAAAGATATAAAACTGGCCTATGATTATATGAACGTACATATTTTTTTTTTTTGAAATAAATATATGAACGTTCTGACGTATGTATAATTTCGACCTTATTTATATATCACTGCTTGTGTCTGCTGCTACATCCTTCCATTGTTGAGTAACTGTTTTAATCTGGGTGTAGAACTGGATTCCTGCCTTGCCTGTGTGAGTGGCCAACATGAATACATAATCTCATCTATGATCAAGATAGAATTGAAATATAACAAGCTTCCCAGGAAATGTTATAGGTTAAATATACCGTCAAGATTGAGATCACCGGCAAACAATGGCTTCAAGCCGGTAAAAGAAGGGAACGGGGCTGAGATTGGAACATTGATGCCAACCTGAGTCAAAAACACCCCATTAGAAGAAAATCAACATTTTTTTTTCATAACAAGCAACCAAATCATGGGACAATGGTGCAACATTACCTGCCCAACCGCAACCTCGGTTTGGAATTTCCTTGCTGCTACACGTGATGATGTAAATATTGAAGCTCCATTGCCATATCTGAAATAGGAATATGTATAGGATAAATATAAAGTTGCCATGGTTTTAGAAGACGAAGGAATCAAGGGATGTTGGAATTGAGACATTACTTATTCCCGTTAACAATGTCTATAGCCTCTTCCATGCTGTCAGCCTGTGCAATGATAAAAACAAAACCAACGTCAATGTGTTTTTAAGCGCACAATAAACTTTGCAATTGGGGCATTATCTAAAATCCAAACCATAACAACAATAAGGAACAAACCTCCATAAAGAGGAGAACCGGGCCACAAATTTCCTCCTGTGTAAGCCAAAAAATTGTTATCGACTATTACGAAACGTTATAGAGTTCAATTCTCTAATTAAGGGAAATGATATCTTACAGAATGAATGTAATATACCTTGTAACATTCCATGCTGACTTTGACATCAGATAAAATTGTGGGGCCAATGAAGTTACCGTGTTCATACCCTGGAACCTACAGTTATTTCATAAGGTAAAAACTTTCAATGAGTCTTTGTTTGGACTTCCTCAAGCTTCAAAGTAAAATCACATTTCCAAACATGTACAGGCATTTCTACATCAAAATACTAAAAATCGACAAACTCTGCCAAATTTACTGAGAAAAGTTGCATGGAGAATCTTGGGCATTATTTTGTAGCATAATTTCACACACTTGAAGGTAAAACATAATAAGAAATAAATGAGACTAAAAGACCATTTTGATCAAACTTCCACAACTATATTTTAATAACCCCACTGGCTTACACACAATGATCCCTAATAACCACAGTCCAATCTCAGAACAAGTAGGGGATCTTCCCTTGAAATTGTCATGGATATTATATCTCATAAATACAAGAAAACACCAGAAAATCTCAAAACCTATGGGATCATTGATATTCAAGGAAGAAGTAATAGTTCTCTTCTCAATAAAAACTGCAGAGGCCAAGAGAAAAAAATCAATAATACATAGTTCAAGCAGATCATTGATCAAATAGATAGAACTCAAAATAAAACAAAATACCAGAATATTTCTCCCATCAACTACCAGTTTTGCACCACTGTCAACACTTGATTGGATCAATCTGCATATGAGTTCCTTCGCCTATCAACCAACACAACCGTTAAAGACTTGTTTCATAATTGAGCATGACATGCAAAAATACATGTTCAACAAGTAAGTCGCACATTCCCCAAACCAAAAATTTATAAATTGTTCCACCTCAAACATCACAAAATATCCCAAGAAATTCACTTCCATCTCACCAGATTGACTTGATGTAAATAATAAAAATTTAGTCTACCATGAATTATCTTGTACCTGCTTGCTAATAACTGGACCAAGGTCTGTATCTGGTTCTGATCCAGGTTGTACTCTAAGTGTTTTGACACGCTCCACCAGTTTATCTTCCCTAGAAAAAGTTCATTGCAATCATCACTTACATCAAGGCATCTCTCGTCAAAAGGGAAAGAAGAGAGAACAACGAGAAGGGAGAAAGACTGACAGTTCTAGATATTAAGAAAAATAAATGAAAATTACATCTCAAAGGAAGATAATGATGCCTCTATTCTTATTATAAAAAGAAAAAATATGCTTTTATTATTGATTAGTCTATAATTAGTTTTGCCCATCAAAAGGCTATTGTTATAGCATTCACTTAACCATGCATTCTCCAAGCAGACCCAATACTTTTAGCTCCACGAGTCTTGGCAGTAGATACCAGGAAAACAACTTTTTTATGATGTATTTTCCTCATTTTTAGAAAACAATCTTAGTTTCACAATGAGGTTTATTATTGAAAATATCTAAATAATTAAAATAAATATATCCGCTTCATTATTCAACATGGAACAAAACAGGATCAACTCTTTTCAGCCCAAAGCCTTTACTTTATATGAGGGAAAAAGAAAACCCTCACGTACATGAGCATACATTTCCTCATCAATTCATGTGAAAAATAAATTAAATAAACAGAACATTGAAAGATTGAAAGCCACTCCTTGATGTATTAATAAGTTAAACTACAGTTAAAAAAGAAAATAAGGCCACTGATAAGGTAGTACCTCAAACTAACAGCAATCATAGAACATGTTGAAAGAGATGTATTAAGAAAAGCTGAAATATATGTTGAAATGGACTGAATTTTTATATATATTTCATAGAAACGTTACACTACTATATATACAAGCAGAAGCAGAAGACTTAACTTAGGAAACTTCTAAACTAGAAAACTAACTAATCCTAGGGAAAACTAATCCCTTAAAGTTAGGGATTACATATACTAAGAACTTTACAGAATCTCCTAATTAATTTCACACAATCTTCCTAATTTAGGAAGTTGCTTTCTAACACCCCCCTGAAAAGTGGATATCATCCATTCTCAGCTTGTTTGCTAATATCTGAAAATACTTCCAGTTAATCCCTTGGTGAGTATATCTGCTAGTTGATCTCCAGTGGATAAATGAGTACAAATTAGGCCACTGTCCAGTTTTTCTTTTATGAAATGTCTGTCCACTTCAGTGTGCTTCGTTCTATCATGTTGGACCCGATTATGTGCTATGTTAATGGCAAATTTATTATCACAATATAGTCTCATTGGACCTTCCCACTTGATTTTCAAATCTTCCAAAATGATTTTCAGTCATAACAACTCACAAACTCCAAGAGTCATTGCCCTAAATTCAGCTTCTGAGCCACAACATTTTGTTTTTTACTCCAAGTCACAAGGTTTATTCCCAAAAAAGTGTAGTAACCTAGGTTAACCTTCTATCAACTATAGACCCTGCATAGTCTGCATTAGTATATGCTTCCAAAGTTAGTTTTCCCTTTTTTTTAAACAAAATTCCTCTACCTGGTGCGCCTTTTAAGTACTGTAAGATTTGAGCACAACCCTTAGATGTGATTCTTTAGGGTTGTGCATGAATTGACTTACAACACCAACTGGATAGGAAATATCTGGTCTGGTATGTGACAAGTAGATAAGTTTTCTCACAAGCCTCTGATAGGAGCTTCTGTCAACTGTTGCATCTTCTATTGTACCTCCAAGCCTATGATTAACTTCTATAGGCATCTCTGCAGTTTGCATCCCAATTTGCCAATCTTTGTCAACAAATCTATGATATATTATTGCTGAGATATAAAGATCCCTTGTCGAGAATGTCACTTCAATACCAAGGAAGTATTTTAGTCTGCCAAGCCCTTTGACTTCAAACTCCCTTACTAAACACTTCTTTAAATTATCCATTCATTCCAAATCATCCCCTGTAACTGTAATGTCATCTACATAGACTAGTACGACAGTTACTCCCCCTGAAGGTGAGTGTTTCGCAAACAAAGTATGATCACCTTGACTTTGCCTATATCCCAGCTTGAGCATATCTTTGGTAAACCTCCCAAACCAGGCTCTTCGGGACTATTTTAGTATATATAGAGCCTTCTTTAGCCTGCACACTGCCTGTCTAGTATTTGAACCGAATCCTGGTGGGATATCCATACATATTTCCTCCTCCAGATCCCCATGTAAGAAGGCGTTCTTGATGTCAAATTGTTGTAATTTCCATCCTTGATTGGAAGCTAATGACAACAATACTCTCATCGTGTTCGTTTTTGCAACAGGAGCAAATGTCTCAAGATAGTCTATCCCATAAGTTTAAGAGTACCCCTTAGCCACTAATCTCGCTTTGTACCTCTCTAACGAACCATCTGACTTGTATTTTACTGTAAATACCCATTTACATCCCACTGCTTTCTTCCTTTCTGATAGTTTTACCAAGTCTCATGTCTTGTTCTTCTCGAGTGCTTCCATCTCAACCTGCATGACATTCTTCCAATTCTCATCTTTTAATGCTCGGATACTGTTGATAAAGAGTAAACAACATAGTGGAGAAAAAAAGGAACTCTTTTTATTATATATTGTGAATGGTGAAAATACATCTTTTTATAGGAAAAGTTAGGAGTAAGTTTTCTATTAGAAGTAAACTACTTAGTAGTTATCCTTATCTATCTAACTTTTCTATTAGAAGTAAACTACTTAGTAGTTATCCTTATCTATCTAACTTTCTAAGAGTTAGTGTTATATTAAAATACTAACTTATCTATTGCATAACCTACACTCCCCCTCAAGTTGGGGAGTAAATGTTGAAAAGACCCAACTTGGATATAATCTCATCAAAGGTAATTCTTGGAAGTGCTTTGGTGAGAATATCTGCTGACTGATTCTTCGTTGAAACATAATTGAGCTTCACCGTTCCACCATTCATCTTTTCAGAGATGAAATGTCTGTCAATCTCCACATGCTTCGTTCGGTCATGATGAACTGGATTCTTTGCAATACTTATTGCAGATTTACTGTCACTTTGAAGTTCAAACCATTTGTTGGCACATAACCCCAGCTCAGTTAACATTCTTTGAAGCCAAATTCCTTCGCAAATTCAAAGTGTCATTGCTCTAAATTCTACTTCTGCACTACTTCGAGATACCACCGCCTGTTTTTTGCTTCTCCAAGTAACTAAATTTCCTCAAACAAATGAACAATATCCAGTTGTAGATCTTCTATCCGTTAATTCACCTGCCCAGCTTGAATCCGAAAAAATTCTTACTGTTCTATCATCACTCTTTCTAAAAATTAATCCATGTCCTGGTGTCATTTTCAAGTATCTTAGAATTCTATTCACAGCCTCTAAATGTTCTTCTCTTGGATCATTCATATATTGACTCACTATACTGACAGGGAACGCAATATCAGGTCTGGTAAGTGATAAATAAATTAGTTTACCTACTAGCCTTTGATACTGTTCTTTGTTCACAGGACTTCCCAATTCTTCTCTCCTTAGCTTCAGATTTGCTTCCATGGGTGTTTCAGCCAGCTTACATACCTTCATTCCAGTTTCTGATAGTAGATCAAGGATATATTTCCTTTGGTTGATCACTATTCCTTCTTTTGACCTTGCAACCTCCATGCCTAAAAAATACCGTAAAGTTCTCAAGTCTTTGGTTTTGAACTCCTTCGCCAGTAGCTTTTTCAATCTTTCTATCTCCATACAATCATCACCTGTTAGAATGATATCATCCACATAGACAATCAAAATTGCCTTTTTGTTGTTTGAAGATGTTTTGACAAATAAAGTGTGATCTGATTGACATTGCTTGTAACCATCCTGAATAATCACCTTTGTAAATCTGTCAAACCAGGCTCTTGGAGATTGCTTAAGTCCATACAGGGACTTTAGTAATCTACATGCTTTTCCTGTATTACTCTTCACACCCGGTGGAATTCGCATATATACTTCCTCCTCCAAGTTTCCGTTTAGAAATGCGTTTTTGATGTCTAACTGATGAAGCACCCAATTCTCATTAACTGCTAATGACAGTAACACTCTCACAGTGTTTAGTTTTGCTACCGGAGCAAACTTTTCATGATAATCAGCTCCAAAAGATTGAGTGAATCCTTTCGCCACTAATCTCGCCTTATATCTTTCAATGCTACCATCAGCTTTGTATTTTACCATGAATACCCATTTGCAGCCGACTGGTTTTTTATCTTTCGGAAGATCAACTATAATCCAAGTATTGTTGTTTTCCAGTGCTTTTAATTCCTCTTCTACTGCCTTTTTTCACTTGGGATCTTTCAATGCTTCTTCCACCGTATCTGGAACAATAATGCTATCTAAACTTGTTGTAGAGTTCTTAAACCAATGCGTTAGCTTTCCATATGCAACAAATCTCTCAATTAGATAATTTCTGCATTTTCTTACCCCTTTCCTTTGAGCAATCGACAAGTCATTATCATTAATTAAAGCATTTAATTCAGTGGAAGAACTCTTATTACCTTCTTCATTCTCCAAAGGATTCTCGTTCGGTTTCGGTTCATGACAGTGTCCATGTTGTGTGGGAGACTCGGGATTAGGTTTAGGGATTGATTTAGAAATTGGTTTTTGTCGTCTCTTGTAAATCTACAACTCGGATTGAGGTATTTGAGGCGAAGTGATATGTTGATCATGCCGAGGTAAATGTATTTCGGTGGATTGGTTTGGCAAGGATACGTTTTCTGGGTTCGATAGTGTTGTTTGGTCTGGCTGTAGCGATTTTGTAGGCTTATTCGACTGGTTTAACTGGTTTGACGGTGCTGGTTGATCAAAAAGAGCTGGCTACAAATCAAGTGACAATTGTTGTGAGTCAATAAACTGATATTCATTATATGACTCCCCCTGAATAGCAATTTTGAGGAAAAAATGTGTTTTTTCAAAGAAAGTAACGTCCATAGTAATAAAGAATTTCTTTGTACGAGGATAATAACACCAAAAGCCTTTTTGAGTCGATGAATAACCCAGAAACACACACTGAAATGCTCGAGAATCTAATTTGGACCTGAAAGGAACATTGCTATGAACGAACACAGTACAACCAAAAACT